AAAGAAAAAAGGAACATTAACGTTATCGAGTTGGGCTTAATTTTGTCAATGTTGAGGTCAACAAGTCTAACTCAGAAATATACAGATGATTGAGATTGACTTGAATTTTTTAGACCCAGATTTTGTTCGAGTTTGGCTTCAACAACAACAACAAACAATATAGCCTTTTAGTCACAAGCAAGTTGGGGTAGGTTAGAGATGAAACTCAATAGAACCAATGGTAAAAGAAACACAAAAAGGGCTCAAAACAAAATGAAGAGATTGGAGCTAAAGAGAAAGGAACAAAAGTCACGGTTCTGGCACGTTGATTGCTAGCCTCCAAGCGCTCCTATCCACCGCTAAATCCTTGGAGATATTCCAATTTTAAGATCTCTCTTAACCGACTCTTCCCAAGTGAGTTTAGGCCGACCTCTACCTCTTTTTACATCATCGACCCGCTGTAGAACTCCCCTACGCACCAGTGCATCAGGAGGCCTCCGTTGGACATGTCCGAACCACCTCAGCCGATGTTGAACCAATTTCTCCTCAATTGGAGCCACCCCGACCCTATCTTGAATATCCCCATTCCGGATTCTATCCCTTCTTATGTGCCAGCAGAACCAACGCAACATACGCATCTCTGCTAATCCCTTCTAATGTGCCAGCAGAACCAACGCAACATACGCATCTCTGCTACGCTTAGTTGGACATGTTGCCTTTTTGTAGGCCACATCCAGCACCGTATAGCATCGTCGGGCGAATCGCCGTCCTATAGAACTTACCTTTTAGCCATTGTGGCACACTCTTATCATAGAGAACGCCCGAAGCTTGACGGCATTTCAACCAACCGGCTGCAATTCTATGCCTAACATCAACATCAATGCCGCCATCCTTTTGTAGCATCGATCCTAAATACCGGAAAGTCTCCTTCTTGGCCACCACTTGCCCGTCAAGGCTAACGTCACCATCATCATGTGTAGCCATGCTGAAAGCGCACGTCATGTACTCGGTATTCGTCCTACTAAGTCTGAAGCCTTTCGACTCTAACGTGTCCTTCCACAGCTCTAACTTCTTATTTACCCCTGCCCTACTCTCGTCAACTAGCACCACATCATCAGAAAATAGCATACACCAAGGGATATCACCTTGTATGTCCCTTGTGGCCTCATCCATCATGAAGGCAAATAAATAAGGGCTCAATGTTGATGCCTGGTGTAGTTCTATTTTAATTGAAAAGTCGCTGGTATCGCCCCCACATGTTCGGACACACGTCATCACATCCTTGTACATATCCTTGATGAGGGTAATGTACTTAGATAGGACTTTGTGCTTTTCTAAGGCCCACCACATGACATTCCTCGGTACTCTGTCATAAGCCTTCTCAAAAAGTCGATAAAGACAATGTGCAAGTCCTTATAAATAAAATATTACAATTAGATTTTTTTTTTAGTTCGACTTTAACTCGAGTCAAGGTTCGAGCGGTTTGTCGGCACTTGAACTTATAACATATATGCTCGAGTTTGGATGAGTTTGAAATGCTCGAGCTCAAGCCAAATTTTGACTCGCGTTGCGACTTGCATTCCCAGTTTTCCTTAATCAGATTTTTCAAGAGAAAATTACTCCTCACACGATATATCTTAACTTTTATTGCATTCCTACTAGACACTCATTTTTATTTGTAAAATTACTAAACCTAATTTATGGGATCTGTTACCTAATTTCATGGGATTTAATATCCCCAACACTCTTTCTCTCTCTATCTGTCTCTACCGCTCTCGTTTCTTCTTCTTCTACTCTTCTTTCATTTATTTATTTTTTCTCTTCCCCTTTAATTCTCCCTCTCTTGTTTCCTCTTCTTCTTCTTCTTCATTTAATTTTTTTCTCTTCTCCTTTAATTGATTTTTTTATCTTTTTTTTTTCGATCGGTCCCGATTTACTGGACTCGACGGTCCGCCGAGGGCGATATTGATGTCACGACGACTTCACGCCCTAGCACCGGCCGCAACTCTAGCCCCGAGCTCAATCGTGCTAATACCGTTTCAATCCATGGAGATAACACGGTGAATATATTCGATGGCGATTAAACATAAAAAAATCTAACCTTTTCGCGGATAGAGAGAGAGAGGAGACTCGAGAGCGAGAGGTAGCCTATGGGAGAAAGAGAAAAAAGATGCATAGAATTAGGAAAAAGGTGGAAAAAGAGAAGTTTCAATTTTGTCTGAAGAAGAAACACAGAGCAGAGCTGCTTCACTGCGCCTATATCTTCCGATCGTTCGAAGGATCTGTTTTCTGTAATTCGTGCAATTTTTGAATGTATAAATTCGTTTTCTTTTAAGGTTTTGTGATTGTATATTTAAAATTTTACCCCATTTTTTTCTCGAATTTTCGGCGTTGTTGTGTCTGCCCGTGTGAATTAAGTGTCTATTCTCTGTAATTGTTTGTATTCGCCGGAATATTGGGCGGCGAATGTGTTCGTAACTATCGGTATTAGGGTTTGCGTATTATAGTTCGTGGTGAATTACTGGGATCTCTATATACAGATTATAGTATACAATATATTTATTTAATGACAAGATTAATTTATTTATAATGACAAGATTACAGTATATATTTTATATATATAATGACAAGATTAATTTATCTTCGTTATCGTCTGTATATAATGAGTATCTTCTGTGTATATAAGTCTGATCGTGTATTTTATTTATTAAACCAAAAAATATACTATAAATATACAGACAAAACACGAGAGATAAATAACACAATATGTAAACAAAAAATGAAGGAAAAATTACAAGGTTTATTTCGTATATTTTTTGTACTTATATGTTTTTTATATATCTTCTGTATATACCCTGTATATATTATGTATAAGTGTATATATTCTGTATATATTATGTATAAAGGACTATGCAGAATATTTTTTATATTTTTTATTGCGTATATTTTTTATTGAGAGAGTGAGGACGTTTGAATTTCAAAAACTAACCCTTTCCATTTGATATGAACGGATTCCTAAATAGTAGGTAATATACAGTTCCCTATTTTTCAGTTCAATAATAAAGATGCGTGTAGGGAAGGTCTCTTATCTGGTAACTGACATTTTTTATTCATCTCAAATAAATGCATTTGAATTGGTATAAATGCAAATAAAATCTCTCATATTGTAGAAATGCAATATCTTTAGTATCATGTGGTTAATACAAAATTTTGCCATTTTTCAAGACGTAAAGGGCCTTGGACGGGAGAGATCCAAAGGGTATATATTTATTGGGCCTCTCATGGCCCAAATTTGGCCAATTTTTTTTTCACTTCCCCCTCTTAAGCTAAAAAATATAAACCCGAGCCTTAAACCCTAATTCCTGACTTGGGTTCAGAGCTCAAAGTTTTTCCTATCAATTCGATTGGAAATCACCAAATTTCAGACAGGAAAAATTCCAGACGTTCATCATAGTCATGTCCTACAGCCGTAATCGTGATTTCATGTTCTGCGAGATGTGCGGGACAATGCTCTCTTTCGATTCTCAAAAATATGCTCGATGCCCGTTGTGCAAATTCAAGAAACGTCTCAAAGGTAAGTTTGTCCCCCATTTTCGTTCAAAGTATTCAGTTGGTATTTCTGCTATCTCTTTTATTTGCTCATTTTCGATATGGATTGCTGGAATGATGAAAGTTCATTTGTATGACGAGAGTTTTCTTATAATAGGAGGCGTTTCGGTTACTTGATTCTTGTAGTTGATTTGGGGCTCAATGTTGATACTGCTGTTTAAGCCATTTCTTTCTTCATAACTTGCTATCTGAAAATTCGGATAAGGAATTTTTATGGTGGCGAATAATGCCATGTGTTTCACTATCGAATTTCCTGTTATCTATTTTATTTGATCATAAGTATGTACTAAATCAAAATTTAACTAAAATTTTCATTTCATGTTTTTTGAGTCGTATTCATGCCGTGTCTCTCCATAATCATGCTTTCTAATCGTTTTCTTGTTTCGTGCCAGTCATTGTCGCAATACCATTATTGCTATAGGAGCTTAGCTATATTTGCATTCATAGTAGAATTAAGAACTTTGGACCACCAGGA